CTGGCGGAAGTTGGAGGCGTTCATAGGCTTCATGAGCTCCACCAGCTGTGTGTCCGAGACTGCAACATAGGTTGTAGGGCCGCAAAACGATCGTTCAAGGTATCGATGGCTCTCGAGGGTTTCGACCATGGTACACAAGTAGAGATACGAATCGCGTGTCTCATTGAACAGGAGGTGGTACGCGTTCTCTTGGATGTACAAGCGAAATTTTTTGATGAGCTCGCGCCTTTCCGAGTAGACTACCATTTTGCAAAGTTTCGAGGACGTAGATGCAGCGGTTGTCGAGTTATGACGGACGCGAACGAGGTGAGTTTACATGAATCTACCCAAACGACGCGTCTCTGGCGAGACACGACCTCCACCGACCTCCACTTTTTGCCTCCGCTAATCGGTTTGGGCATTAACCGTTTTACCCCAAAGAGGTGCATCAATATATTTTCATTTCAAACCGTTTACAATTTGCCTCCGCAAGTTAAAACGTGTTGCAACCCTCGTTTTTGACTACCCCTAGTGTATGTCACGACGACCGTAGAGCGCACCAGTGACTCACTCGGGCCATACCGCAGCGCGCGAGCGCGAGCACTCCTGCCCGTTGGCTGCAAGTGCCGAAGCGAACGCCGCACGCTGTCCGTAGTTCTCCATTGCGTTTATAGCCGATGGCACGCTGTCCAATGGGAGAGCGCTTCTTTATCATCATTATCTTTTGTTAAATGTCACACGCGAAGAACGCGAAGGCCGGAATGGACTTTGGATTCCTCGATGAGACGTGAGGAGGCGCGTTATGCTCTGAGGCGTTCTGCGAAAGGCAAACGCGCCGTGCGCCGGCGCCCAGGCGGTGAGGCAAGATCCCGGGGGATCGTCGCACTTCCTTACGGATCTTCTCCAACGTCTGCGCTTGGACCAGCGCCTCCTTCTCCTGACATCGCCCCCAAGCCACTTGGCAAGGAAGAGCACCGCCGATCATTCTCTCTCAGCACCCGTGTGCGCGCCGGAAGCGTGAAGCCCACCTGGGGCCTCAAGATAACGGCGTCGCTTCTTTTGTCTTACCACAGCTTCTCTCTTGTTCATGCCTCGCGACATGGGTGACTCGTGTGACCAGGACGTGCCCCGCAGTCGGAGGTACGATCGTCTCGCTTCGATCGCCTCGGAGAAACGGAGACTGCTTGATAACGACCGCACAGTTAACTCACTCCAGTCGCTTCATATCGGTGGCGCAAGGGGCCATTTGCGCCGGCCGACCGTGGGCTCCTCGGCATCGGCTGAGCATTTCAGCCTAGTCGGGGGTTGCCCGGATCTGGCACGTCCGGGATCTGTGCTCTAGATCGAATTGTTATGAAGAGGGGCACCGCAACATCCAGTTTGCCTCCTCATCGTCTGGGACTGCCTCACATCAGTCGCAGCGGCCACGACCGCTATGGAAAGACGACCGGAAGCGGGGAGTGCCAAGCGCCACGGATGTATCGGGCGCTTACCTCTACCCCGTCCACGACAAGATCTTCCGATCCCGCACTAACCCTCGATTCGCGCCGAGTCCATTGCTAGCGACGACGTATCGCTGCATTGGTACATCTTCAAAACTACGAGAATTGATTTCAAGATTACACTACAGATCAAACAGAAAGCTTAACGTTGCCTACAGCGGCACTGACGTGGAAGTCAGAGGTCCCACGAGGACCCGGGGGAGGAGGAGGAGGGTGGTGGGGAGGGTGGTGAGGGGGATGGTCGTGGTGGTGCGGGTGCTTGTCGTGGTGCTTGCCCTTCTGCACGTTGTAGCCCTCGTCATCCTGCATGTCGCGCTCCTCGTGCATCATGTGCTTGTCCATGTGCTCGAGAGGGCGGTCCTCATGAGGAGGAGGAGGAGGAGGAGGAGGAGGAGGGGGGCCTCCCGGCCGGCGAGGAGGTTTAGGCCATGGCTGGTCCTTGAAGCGGATGAAGCCGTCAATGAGGCCACCGCTCTCAGTGTGTTTCTCGCGCATGACTTTGATCTCCTTGTCACCCTCAGCCTTGACTTCGAGTCCTCCGACTTTCGCTTCGGCGAAGAAGTGGCCGAAGAAGCTGTCGGGGCCATCAATCTCGACGTTGCCAGACGTGGCATGCGCAGTCACCCGTGCAGGGACGTGTTTGGGCTTGTGAACGTGAAGGTTGATGTTGCCGGCGATGCTGAGAGCTTCGACGAAAGCAAACTTTGGGTGCTTGGGGTGCTTGGGATGCTTGGGATGCTTGGGGTGCTTGTGCTTATGCTTGTGCTTGTGCTTGTCAGTGTCCAGGCCAAGCCACATGATGAAACGCTTCTTCAGGCCGCACGGCGTTCCCTCAGAGCGCTCCTCAGCATCCACGGACTCGACAGACTCCTTAACCTCCTCGGGCTCTTCGGGCTCCTTCGGCTTCTTGTCCTTCCTGTGCTTCTCAAGAATGTTGATGGTAGCCTTGATATCGCCAGAAAGAGTCTCGAGTCGCAGCAGGGAGGTGACGTTGAAGGTACCCGTGATGTCACCACTGTTCAGAACAACGGCGCGCTTCGCGACAACCTCTTTGAACGCAACATCGCCTTTGGCATCGACAAGAAGGTTTTTGATGCGGAGGTCAGTCGCTGAAGAGTCGACTAAGACCGCGATCTTGTTGGTGGAGACGATGTTGAGCGTGCGAACCTCCTTCGACGTCTTTGGCAGCGCCAAACGGACGACCTCGAGGGACGCGGGAGCGCCAATGATGTTAATGAGATCACCCTTATGGCCGATGAGCTTGTGACTTTCCAAGGTAGTGTTCAGCCGAGGGAAGAGAGTGGACTCGATGGTGAGCTTGGGCTCCTTCAAACCGTCGTCACGAGTGATAACGACAGTTCCATCACCGCAATTGGTGAAGTTGAGAGTAAGGGGGCGTTTCTCGATAAGACCAAAGGTGACGGCGGCGGTGCTGGTGTCGTCCGAAGAGGTACTAAAGACAGGAGGTGTAGGCTGCTCGACGTACATCTACAGAGTCAGTATGTCCGCTCTGAAGCTAATGCGTACCCAGGTCTCCTTTGTGTAATCCCAAGGGCTAGGAGCAGAATGAGTGAATTTGCCATAGTCCCAGTCGCTGCTCCACTCCTGAAGACCGCTCCGGTGATGACGCGAATGGCAAGCTCGGGCGGCGGAGAAGATGAAGAAACCCGCGAGACCACCGAGAAGAAGTTTCTTCTTCGTGCTCAGCTGTCGGCGCTCATGCTGTTGGATGATAGGCTCAGTGGTGTCCGTCTGCTTGAACAGCGGCGCAGCATCGCCGGGGAGCCCTGCCTCAATGTCGAGCTTCTCGTCAGGGTAATGCTGGTGTGACATGGTGCTGCTGGAGCCCCGAAGGGTAAGGAGTGTTGCTGAGGTCTGAGTGGATGCGAAGGTGGTGTACTGTGGGAAATGCGAATTGATGCTGTGGAACGGAATGCTGAAGGACGCTCACTCAGCGTCGGTGGGGAGTGGGAGTGGTCACGAGAGTGCTCGTCTACTTATACAATTGTGGTGTGGTTGCCAGGAACAGACGTCACAGGATCGGCTTCCACTGCTGCGGCCTCCACCGTCTTCTACACTTTCGACGCCCGAAGACTCCTTCCGCAGTCATCCCCACCAACCCAATGGCGGTCCAGACCTTCCTGGAATGCTGCGAAGGCGCGAAGAGGTGCACGGCAGCGCGTCCTGAACACGCATGCAGTCTTGAATGTTAAACAACGCGCCGCATGCGAGGGAACCACTGCGCAACTGTCGGCCGAAAACGAGTTGCTGATAAGTCCCTCCGCCTAGGGGGCGGTAACTTAGCGTCTTGTTCGGAATATGACCGTGCTCTTCCGATTGTGCGAGGTGTTGCCATCAACGTCAACGTATTCTGATCTGTACAGCTCAGACGCAAGGATCGCTGGGAACAACTGCTTGTAAGAGACTTCTCAAGCGTCTCAACTCAGACGGAGCGGCTGCATGAGACCGACGCGCCGCACACATCAGTGTGCTCCTCATTGGTACGCGCAGAAGTGACGGCCGAATCGTCTCATAAAAATACATTCGTAACATGCTGGGGCGCTTCTCTAAGTATCATATCGCCTAGCGCCGGCGGCCCGGAGGGGGAGGGGGAGGGAGGGCGAACAGACCTCCGCCACCGGTGCTGCCTCCAGTTGAGGCAGGCGGGGTCGTCTTCTTGCCTTCACGCCCGGGTAGCTTGATGCTGAACGTCTGACCCTCCTTCAGCGAGTAGTCCTTCGGAGGCGCAGCAGGCTTCGCAGGCTCGTCGTTCGGTCCAGGGTCCGGGTTCGAAGCCCTCTTCGCCACTGACTGCAAGGCAACCTAAGAGTGAGCGTTGTTGGAGTCGTGTACGCACCTGGAAGTCAAACGATTCGCTACGCTCAGGGAATCCAACACCAATGTATGCGCGCTTGCCTCCATCGCCCTCCACGCGCAGCACAAAGTATCGGGACGAGTCGAGGACGGGCTCGACCTGCGTCCAGGGCGTGGCGTACGTCGCTTGTGCGAAGAGCTCGCCAGTGTTGGCATCCTAGACAATCAGTAAAGAGATGGCGCTTTAACCAACCTCGAGCTTGATCTCGCACTTGGGGCCAATCTCAAGAACGCGCAGGCGACCCTTCCACATGAACGACTCGACGTTCCATTCGGCAGCCTTGTAACCAGAAACGGATGTACGAGGAGGGACCTGATACACTGTCGTCAGCTGGACCGAGGGAGAGTCCACTCACCCATCACCTCCCTACAAACGAAGAGGACAGACTCGATCTGATCTGTCAAGGCGTCCATGCTGGGTAGGGTACTTGTTGTTGCAAGCGTTGGCAGCGCGACTGACGTTGCCCGTACACGTCGAATGCCAAGCGAGAGTTAGGCTGAGTTACGTAAATAAACACGTGTGGAGGTGGAGGTCGGAGGCTCGGCGCGCTCCGAACGCGACAGCATGTGTCAGGAACGGGAGAGTTGCTCTTGGTCCAAAGTTGTCCTGTGCTTCTGCTATGTCTCCCTTCCTCGCCGTTTCCAAACTATTCTACCTTTTGCGCTCTTGAACCGGCTGTCATGTTGTGGGGAGCCTTACTGGGCTTCGGTCTTCTGCCCAGTATAGCTGCGTTCACCACTGACCAGCTTCGCGAGCGCTCGATCTACCAGGTCCTCACAGACCGCTTCGCTCGGCACGACGGCTATCAAGCACCTTGCGACACAGAACGGAGGGAATACTGCGGAGGAACATGGAAAGGCGTCGAGCAACAGCTTGACTACATTCAAGGCATGGGCTTTGACACCGGTAAGCACCCGCGCACCCCTCCGCCTGACGCCACAGTATGGATCAGTCCAGTCGTAGCGAATATCCCTGGTATACCGGGTTCCTCGAGTTATCATGGTATGTTATTGCTGAACGTGCATGCTTGAGAAGATGGCTGACGTCAAGGCTACTGGGCATCTGACATGTTTCGTACGTCGCCACAAACCGATGACTTAGCTAACGGGCAGAGCTTAATCGCCACTTCGGGTCTCGCCAAGATCTTCTCGATCTGGCCAATGCGCTTCACGCTCGCGGCATGTTTTTGATGGTTGACGTGGTGAGTCGTACGGTGGTTCTTTGATGACCGCTAACGCCAAGGTTGCCAATCATCTTGGCGCTGAACCGGGGACCTTTTCACCTGGTAGCTGGTACGGTCCCTTCACGTCAAAGGAACACTTTCATCCGTTCTGCATCCCGGATGACTGGGACAACCAGATACAATCGGAGCAGTGTAAGGCCCTTGTTTGAGGGCAAGCTGACGCTTAGGCTGGCTCACGGACCACATGGCTGATCTGAATACCGAGCACCCGCAGGTTATCGGCCTGTTACACGCCTGGATCAAGCACCTCGTTGCGTCCTTCGGTATCGACGCCATCCGAGTGGATACCGTTAAGCACGTGCGGAAGGAGTTCTGGCCCGGCTTTGTTCAGGCTGCAGGTGTTGCCGCCATGGGCGAAGTACTGCATGGGGATCCCGCCTTCCTCAGGCGATATCAATTGCACGCAATGCACAGTCTCTTGGACTACGCGACCTTCTACCACCTCAGGTGAGCTGATTGCGCGTTTCCGTGACTGATTGCAGACGCGCATTTCAGTCCACGACCGCTCGTATCGATGAGCTTACGAGTATGATCTCCAGGGTTCACCAAACGATGCCGAACCCGATGACGCTTGGCTCCTTCTTAGAGTGGGGTAATGATCCGAGTCAGAGCTAATTGTAGCAACCACGACCACCCTCGTCTTGCGTCGTCCGTGAGGGATCCGGCGGTGAGTGGTAACGTCTTCTCGACTAACGTTAGCTCCTCAAGAATGCTGCTGTCTATCCTTTCATCAACGATGGCTTCCCGATTATGTTCCAAGGGACGGAACATTGGTTGACTGGAGGGGATGATCCGGCGAACCGCGAGGCGATATGGCTGTCCGGGTTCCAAAGAAACACGCAGAGCTACACCATGTACGCCCGGCTGAATCATGCGCGGAGGCGGGCAGCAGCGTATCCGCCCTACCTGAACACGCTCCTGAAGTTTATGAAGTTCGACACGCACTCCGTGGCAATCTCTAAGGCGCCCATGTTGTCCGTTCTGACAAACTATGGTGCGCATTCCCCGCCAAGGGCCTACTACATTTCCAAGTCTGGCTATGCACCCCTAATCCCGGTCATCGATGTCCTCACTGGGCAAGTTTTTGCCACGGATCCGCACGGAGGCTTGTCCGTGGTTATTCTGTCTGGGGAGCCTCGCGTGTTCTTGCCACTGTCGATATGGGAGGGAAAGAACAGTGCTTGGCAGGCCGCTCACAACGCCAAAGTGGGTGTTACCCAGTCATCGCCTGCCCGACAGCACTCTGTCCCACACCAGCCCGAATCGCACAGCAAAAGCTCAAGTTTTGGATCAGTGTTCAGCTGGTTACGGGGTTCAAAGTAGAGACGTTTTCTGCCTTGTGGCCCTGATAGAGGGCATCTTGCTGTTGTACTTATTCAATGTATCTTCTTGTTTTACTCCGACAGAAGGACATTCGGCAACTCGGCAATCAAAGTTGTTTGGCTGGAGGGTCGATTGAGTGGCAAAAAGTTTGTTTACGTCTGAGACGCGTGCGCACAAATTTACCTCCGCCCGAGCGCCCCTCACTCGGCCATGCTCCTGAGCCGCTCATGTCAACGCGTACGCGCTGCTGCCAGTATCGTTCTAACTCATTTTCCTCCATCGACTCCTGGCCCAAAGTGCACACCTTGGCCAAAGGGAGCTCATTACGCGTGGGATAGACTTTTGTTCCCACTCACCGCCATCTTGCTGCCGAATCCGACTTCGATGACATCGTCAATTCGGACGCGACTTCAGACCCGATAGACGATAGATAGCTTCGACACGTCCTCTATGGCCAACACGATGAATGCCCCTGGCGAGCGCCCTTCTCCGAGTCGAGTGGAGGAGGTGGCTCGCAAAGCGATCGAGCTTGAGGATGAGAGTGAAGTGAGTTGCACCGCCGAACGTTCTAGACCTGCATGGTGGTGACAATGGCGAGCGCGATTCACCGGATCATTGTGTACTAACGTCACCAGTCCGTACCCTCATTCCTGTGGAACGCCATTTCAGACTTCCTGACCACGAACCCGGCCGATTTCAACTTTCTGCTGGAGATCAAGGCTGGTGACTCTGGGAACCCGTTCGGAACTGCTACTTGTGAGTGTCACTGACAAAGCTGGCTGACGGTGAGGCATGGAAGATCTCTGTTGGCAAGACGTGCTCCTTGGAGCAGACCCGCAGCTGGAGGACGGAGGTCGCTCTAATGGCTTTGGATGCCTGCAAAAGTACATCACCCATTGTGAAGACGCGAGGCACAAGCAGGCAAGAGATGCGCGACTGGTGAAACAGGTTGGTGGACATCGCACACAACGGGGCGCTAACCGCAGGGTTTATCAGTCCCCTCAGCCGGCCTGCATGAGCAGAAGTTGAGTCAACCTGCCTCATCGCCTTTTGCATCTTCCTCATTTCCTGGACCGTCCTCTACTCAGTCCTCAACCCCTACCAACCACCGTCCCTCCCCCCATTCCCGACCCTCCATCTCCTCCTTTCCGCTGGTGAAGCCTGAGCCCTTGCAGGGGGAGTCCCAGCGCGTCAACATGTCGTCGCCTACCGTGAGCGCCACAAGCAAGGGCAAAAACAAACACAAGCAACCGACGATCATCTCCTTACTCGATAGCGACGATGACGAAGACATCGTCCTCGTCGGGTCTAGCAAACCCGCAGTCAAGGCTGGTCCGCCGCAGTCGGAGCAAGTCTGGAAGAAAATGAACATTACAGAGAAGATGGACGCACTGAAGCGGGAGCGCAAGTGCTTGAGGAAGGCTTGCGACAGCTGTACGAACGAAGGTCACAAAAAGCTGATCATGGCTCGTCGCAATGAGCTGCGTGGTCTCTCTGCAGGACTCGTGTTTAGAATCTGGGAGCCTCCTAACCCCTCGCTGTTCAAGGCCATTCCGTTCCACAAGTATGACATGAGCGAAGCACTTCGCGCCACCATCAAGCCGCCCGCGCCTACCGCTCCTGATTCCGCCGAGCCTTCCTCCGAGCCTTCTGGAGGTGGCGGTGCACTTAGGTCCACACCCCCTTCGTCGGCTGCTATTGTTAGCGGTGGCATCCCCCCCAGTGGCGATAGGGCGCCATCAGACATGAGTGGTAGAGCCACCGATGCCCTGCAAGCCGTCAACTCCACTTTCGAAGGCCTCGTTAACAGCATGAAATCCTTCGCCGAGGGGGCCGGCAATCTCTTCAATCCCCTCGCACAGAGGCTGGCCGCCGGCGGAATCGGTCCCACCATCACTGGATTGCCTGGTCCGAGTGTCTTCCCCGGCGGCTTCGACTTCGCCGACCTCCAGGCGAGGAGGGCGCAGATCGAAGAGGAATTCGGATACGAGTACGATCGCCCCGCCGAGTGAGTGAAGTGCCATGCTATAACTGACAATGCAGTCTCAACGCTTTCTTCAAGGACTCTCTCGAAGACTTCTCTGAGGACGCAACCGTGGACGAAGGTCTCAAGATTCTGAAGCTGAACTCGCTCCAGGACAAGCTTCCCGGCGCAAACTTTGTTCTGCTCCCTCACCGTATGTCATTTCAACCTACAGCGCTGACGAGACAGAGGTACTCGGCGTTTCTTTCATGGTCAAGCGCGAAGAGCGTGAAACCATCCGCGGCGGTCTGCTGTGTGATGCGATGGGCTTGGGCAAAACTGTCCAGTGCATCGGCCTCATGTTGGCGCGTGACGAGCGCCCTGACGACTTTAAGGGGTGCCCTCAGCTCATCATTGCCCCTCTGGCACTTCTTAATCAGTGAGTCCAGCCGATAAAATCCCAGCTGACGTGCAGATGGAAGTCCGAAATTGAGCGCCATGCTCCCGGCAAGAAGTGGAAGGTTTGCATTCATCATGGGGCAGGCCGCGCAAAGTCTGCATCCTCTCTGAAAAAGTTTGACATCATTCTTACAACCTTCGGAACTCTCAGTGCCGAGTCAGGCCTCAAGACGAAGAACCAGCGCAAGCAGGCGCGTGACCGTCGCAGGGAGCAAGGCAGCGATTACGAGAGTGAGGATGAGGTCCCAAACAAAAAGGGTCCCCTTTTCCGGACCAAGTGGTTCCGCGTCACTATCGATGAGGCGCACCAGATCAGAAACCGCCAGACTAAGACGGCAAAGTCCGTCCTCGCGCTTGATTGTCTTCACCCCTGGATCCTCACTGGAACCCCCATTGTCAACACTCTGGCCGACCTGGGACCACCTCTCGTGTTCACTGGCAAGGTTGACTTTGAAGAGTTCCACAAGAAGATTGTCTCTGTCGAGAGAAAGGTGAGTTCGGGTCAGTTTCATGGCTTACTTTATCAGCGCCCCAAGCTGGCTTCCAAGCGTGCTCAGGCTGCACTGCGCGGTGTCATGCTGCGCCGCAATAAGGACACCGAGGTCGACGGGAAGCGTATCCTCAACCTTCCTCCGAAGACGACAAACATGGATCCTCTCCACTTTGAGGCTGAAGAGCGTGCAATCTATGCCGCCATTGAGCAGCGAGCCCGAGTTCGTGTGAACAAGTTCATCAAGCAGGTGAGTCTTCAGAATGATTCATCATCTGACACGCCAGGGTACCCTGCTCAAGCACTATAGTGTAGTCCTCGTCCTGCTCACTCGTCTCCGTCAGTGCGTCAACCACCCTTGGCTTTTGAGGCGCAAGGAAGGTGAAGCCGGTCGTGATGATGATATGCTCGTTGACGACGATGTGTTCACCGGCAACATGACCGACACGCGCGACAACGACGCGGACGAGTACGGTCGCGCTGTCGCTCTTCTTGGCAAGGAGACAGTGGACAAGATGGCCAAGAAGCTCGAGGACCGCCACAACGCAATGTGCAGCGACGCTAGCGGCGACGATATCGACATGGAGTGCAGCATCTGTTACGAGCCCTTCGTTAACAACGAGTTCATCACCGCCTGCAGCCACTTGTACTGCAGGACTTGTCTCGACAATCTCTTCGTGCAGCCCGCTCGCGACGGTTCACTGCTGTCCGACGAGGAAGCGCAGCGTGGATGCCGAGCCTGCCCTCTCTGCCGCACGCTGATCGAGCCTGGCCGCGTGTTCCGTGCCAAGGCCCTCTGGCAGCCCCCAAGTGACGAGAAGCCGGATGTCGATGAGGCCCTGGAGGATGATGAGCCTGGCCCCAGCGAGGTTCGCGACAAGGGCAAGAAGCGTGCAGCTTCCGTGGATCTGGACTTCTTCGAGAAGAAGCCTCGCCTTGAGAAGGGCAAGGGGAAGGAGAAGGTTATCGACATTGACATGGATGAGGAGAAGGACGAGCTCGCCGATAAGAACGAAGTGGTCATTCCTCCTTCGACGAAGATGCGCCGCATCCTGTGAGTCTCTTGCAACGTACTCTGCTAACATTAGTGAACTTGTTCAAGGCTACGTGGAGGAGGACCCAAACACAAAGATCATCATCTTCTCGCAGTTCGTGCAGTTCCTCGACCTGCTCGGCTCCTTCTTCGAGCTCAACAAGGTTCGCTACACCGGTTATCGCGGCAGCATGTCGCAGAACGAGCGCGACGAGTCGATCCGCCGTTTCTCGATGCCTTCCTCGATCGCAGACCCTATCAACGTCATTCTGATTTCAACAAAGGCCGGTGGAGTCGGTCTCAACCTGACGATGGCGACTAAGGTCATCATGGCGGACCTCGCCTACTCCCCAACTACCGAGGCACAGGCTGTGGACCGCGCGCATCGCATCGGTCAGACCAAGGAGGTTACCGTTGAGCGTCTGGTCATCTCTGACACTGTCGAGGACCGCCTGCTCGAGATTCAGGAGAGGAAGGGTCTTCTCGCCGATGGCGCTCTCGGAGAGGGCGCAATTGGCAAGCTCGGCAAGCTCTCAGTCAAAGACATTAGTTTCCTCTTCGGCATTGGCGCCGAGATGCAGAGGGACGATGATGATTAAGTGAAAGAATTCTTAGATGTACAAGAACCGTTGGCCCCAACGTGTAGATAGTAGAGTCCATGTTGTCAATAGAAGTGTAATGCAAGCCAGTCATTTGTGTTACGTGAGCCATGTTACAACCGGCCCGCTCCGACTTCACTTCACCAGAAAGTGTCATGAGCTTCATATTCGTGGCGATACATAACTATGACAGCGACATTACAACAGAGGTGTCTAGCTGTTTAGCTGTTGAGCTTCTTCATTTCCGCCTGGAGCTACCTTGTTAGTCATGAGCCAGTTTCGACAACTCACCTCCTCGCGCGACTTGGGCTGCTCGAGGTTCTGAGCCTGGGCAGAGTTGGGAAGCTGGATGCCCGGGGTGTTGAAGACGTTGGCAGCGCCAGTCTGGGGGCCACCACCGGCGAGCTCGCGCTGGAGGTCGCGGGGGTCGTTGGTCTTGGCCGGGTGGGGCTGGATGGTGAACTCTGGTCTGTTAGCCAACGGGTTGGCCGGCGCGCGTTTCGGGAAGAGTAGAGGCGGCTTGATGTTGGGCATGGTGCGGTTTAGAGGCGCACATCGCGGTCACCACGCCTAAGTACGCCCCTCACGATGCCGGTGCCGCAGACGTCACGAGGACACGATTGTCGCGGTCCTTGATGGGCCATGACGGCGGCATCTGCTACAAGTCTCGCCCTTTGAATGGCGAAAGTGCACTCACGCTGCTGCTGGTCGTTGTTCTCGTTGTTGGACATGATGATTAGATGCTGTAGAGAGTGAATGCAAGAAGAGATGAAAGGAATCACGCAGCGTCACACTGGGGTTAGAGTCCTGGACGCGCCAGTGTCTCGCTTCCCTCGGTGGTCATCGGTGGCAAACGCCTTCAGGTTCAGGCATGTTGCGTGCGTCCCATGGGGTAGCCGTTCGATGACGTATGATGTCGGTGTTGATCGCAAAGTCCGTGCTCTTCACGTGAGAAGCGTTCCGCCTTCCCACGGGTGTCTTCGAAGGGCTTTCTGGTCGCGGTACTCCCACGTGGAGCAGAGCGCGGGGCGCCGAAAGGAAAGCTATCCGACCCCCCTCCCCTCTGAAATTTCCCCCAAGAAACCGTCAATCATCCGTCGATTACCGTATACTCGAGGATCGTTATTGACACCGTGTGCGCGGAGCTCCCGACGCGGGCCTAACATCGCCCATGGTGCCCACGACTTCTCCGGCGTCTGTCGTAGCGTGAGGCATTCATTGACCGCGTCTCATACTCGGCTCTGTGGGAAAGCAGACAACACGCAGAAATGAAACGGCATTCGCCCGAACTTGGCTCTTGGCAGGACAGGTATCTGTGGGCCGGCTGTTATGGTTGCGGCATGCAGCTGCAGCCTGCGGCAATGTGCGGCAGTACGGATGTTGAATAGGCGAGGCAGCTCAGAATGGCCCCCGCAGGTTGCGGCGTGTGTCTTAGGTGAATGTTCAGTAGCTTCGACTCTGCCACTTGCACCAGTTCGACGTCAGCCGTAGTCACTTCGCTTGGCGACAGTATCCGATCAGACGGAGTGGCAGAGCTGCTCGGCGCAGACATCTGCATGCGTCCCATGGCGGTCGCTCATACGTTGTTAAGCTCAGGTGCGTTTTTCAGGATTGCGAGTCGGCCTGAGCGCGCCAGCGGTGAATACCGCACCCCGCACACGTGCCACTGGCGGGGGACGCTAATGGACGGAAGTTGATCTCGCCTGAAGGATGTGCCCCACACCGGCTTGGACGCCGGCGACAACGGCGCACAGGGGGATTTTCTGCGCCTGGGCTTGAGCTCCCCTGTGCATGGGCTGAATCGAGATCCCGCATCGTGGTTGGCCTGGACTTGACGCCGCGCGCGCGCCGGACGATGAGGCCCGGAGTTTGCGGACTTGCGGGTTGGTACATCTTCAACCAAGTTACTCCGCTTCCGATAGGAGACTTGAGAATTTCGGGCGACCATCGCTCACGCCCAGGCAGGCGACGTCACGGAATTCTATGCGAGTGCGCGACCGAACAAGCCAGCCTACTGCCTGCAACCTGACGGGCCCGCACGCCTGAAGCCCCGCGAGGCCGCGAGGCTGCCCGACGTATGAGCCTTTGATGTGAACACTTGGTTGCTCTTGCCGCGCGTGCCGCCCGAAAATAATCTACCCTTGATGTTGCCGTTCGGACGGTGACATTTTCGATCATGGCGCCTGTGCCGGGCGGCACGTTGCTTTCATGATACGTTTGTGTGCAGATTTTTTTGACTGGCCGAGCACGAGGGCTCGTAGTTAGCGGATGGGAAGATGCAAGTCGGATTTTGAGTAGCAGATCGCATGCATGCGTCCAACGCGGACCTAGTGTCACCTTCGCGACCCAAGGCCAATTGTTGACGAGGCACGGAAAAGTTGCCGCCGGGCAGGTATAAACTTTGACCGGTCAGGTTCAGAGCCGAGATTTGCCACCTGTCCCTCTTGTCACGGGCGGGACCGGGCGAGGACTTCTGTATTTGTTCAAGACTCACATCCTCACTTCCATCATCTCAACATTTCTCATCACCTATCACAACCACACCACACCCGCCCAACATGGCATCCATGGAAGATTTAATCGCGACGATGCAGACCTCGCACGTCGGCCAGCAGGCTAACGACCTCAAGGCTCTGCACGCCAAGCTCTCCGAGACGCTCAACACCACTATCCCATCAATTCGACCGATCCCCCCTCCCTCTGCCTCGCCCGACGGACCGTACGTCCCGCCCGCGCCCGCCAGCAGTTGGAACGACTCGTCCGCTGCGACGACAGCTGTCTTTGACGCCTGGTCCGGAGCGTCCTCGCCCCGTGTCAAGTCAAATATGGCCGGTGTTCAGCAGTCGATGAGTAAGCTCGGCACCAGCCCCCGCCATCAGCAGAACGGCAAGGACGTCCGCCCGCATCACACTGTTCTCGATCAGAACGTGTCGCCCGCCCAGCGTGAGGGCTTTGCCGGCGACGCCTTCCGTCCCTTGTTCGAGGGCAAGGTGCAGCAGTAAAGGCTCCCTTGTGGCCGCCTGCCGCATGCGCCAGCCGGTGGCAGAACCATCAACGGTCCTGAACAATACGCACACGCAACAGTGCTACTTCGCCATCTCCCAACTCGCGTACCCGCGACCCTCAACCCTCATCCTGCTCCCCTATTCGGCCTGTCGAACTACCTTTCGCACACAACGAGTTCTAGCGCGTGGCCCCGCCCGATCGCTAGGATCGTCGCATCACACTGGACGCGCGAATCTACCCCACCTACAACACGCAGCCCCGCGCGCGCCCGCGACAATCACAAAAGAGCGCAGAGTGTGCGCGGCTCGGCACTTGGCGAGCGAACCGGCACTCTGGCGCTGCCCGTGGGGATCCACAATGTGCAACCGTCCTCGTGTCCGTGCTGTGTGCTGTCCACCTCTCCATCATTTCGCGCATGTGTTCCAGACGCAGACTCGACCCCGACAAGCCCCACGCCCTGCAGTTCCATTCCACATACATTCTGTACTAGACATGCCCTCACTCCAGCGCACAACGAGCGCACTTCTCACCCGGTTGTATCTTAATCTCCCGCAGTTCCACTCCATACAGACACACATACATAGCACAGATAGCTTTTTTTCTGACGATGATGAATGCAGAACAGTTCAGCGTCCGTCCATTCTTCCTTGGCACAGTGGCCCCTGACCGTGCGAACGCGGCGTATGCTAGCGGCACGGGCGGCCCGCAGCGGCGATCTCGTCTGGATCTATGCGTGTGAACCTCTGACGCCTTCTTATCGCACAAGTCGTGGCAGCGCCGCATACCGCGTCGTACACCGCACTGTTCAGCCGTCTCTCCCACGCCAACGTATCTCGTCGGTGCAATTGGCCGCTCCCACCGGCACCGTGCTGAACGCGCAGGCAGCAGCGCTGGGAGCTGGGAGATAAACGAGACGAAAAGCACAGCTTATCGCGCGATTCTCCGTCCCGGGCTCAACTTTCGGCACACCGGCATCTCCCCGGCTAGTCTCGGCTGCTTTGGCGCTGTGTGCGCGCTGTGCTGCTTTCAAACACGTTTATCGCTCCAGAGACGCTCAGACTCCCAAACATGCTTCGGCCCATTCGAGTGGCGTCGCGGGTCTGGACTTCAGAAAGACTGTGCTTCGTTCCGGGCCCCGCGTCACGTATCGGGGTAGGCGTCTCGAGCACAGCATGCACGGGTTGCACGGGTTGCACTTTGCACGGCGTAACACCTTGCGCGGATCGGTAGATCTCGCAAGAGTCGGCGTCTCGGCGAGGCGCCGGGAGTGCGACGCGATATCGCGCAACCTCCTGCATTCATGGCGGCATGCCCGATCCGCTTGCCTTGTGGGCAAGGGCTCAGTGCACAGCGCCCAGCGGGCAGCGATCTCTAGAGATCCGAGACATGCAGGTCTAGAACACCCTGCACGCGGCGCGCGCGGCGGTGGCCAAGAGATCGCACATCGCGCGGCGCTCGGTGACGGCGGCTACTGGGGCCAAAGGTGACCGGCGATCCGGCGAGGTGCCAGCCGCCGAATACGAGAACCGCATTCCTGCCGTTCCCCTCGACACGTTCACAACCCACTGCAGCTGCGCGAGCATCAAACAAGAGGCGCACAATGGAGACATAGTGGGTGCACCCGGTGCGCCACCAACGTGCCCTCCTTTTCCAGCGCGCCTCCACCCACGTCCTTTGTTTACACGAAATCGCAAAAATAGCAGCGAGCGGAGCCACATTTAACCTCACTTTAACCCACTCGCTTACTCGGGAGCTTCTCACGACTTGGGATTGGATTCGCTCGCTAACCACGCACCGCAATAATCTAGCACGAGCTGGGCTCGGTTACGTGCCTCTCGCCTGTGTCTCTGTTCCTCCTATTTGGTCCCTCGCATCTGCACATCCGCGTCCAAACTCTCTCGCTTGGCCGTCGCCGCACCGTCGCGGCCGGAGCGGCGTTACAGCTCCCGTTGACCCAAGCCGAGGCCATGCAAAGCGGAATGCGGGTCGTTTCAAATGCATAAGTCTGCTGCTGCTCTTGCTCTCTATGGAGGTGGGTATCTTGAGCCGCGGAGGCCCGCGACTCGCCTAGCCCTAGACCGCGCTCTGCCGCACGCCGGCGATCTTGTCTGCCGCCTGCAAGTGTCAGTGCCTGCGTGATTGGATTGAGACAAGCGTGTCGGAGTATTGTGAGGAGAAGCGGACTTCAACGTCGTCACGCTGACGAGGCGATGCCGTCACATCGTCACCAACGTGATCTCTGCCACAACCCTAGCTTAGCCTCGGCCGTAATCGAGGCCGATGGGTTGTGTAGATCCCGCGTCGCGCTTGGCTCCAGGTTTGCGCAGCGGAACAGAGTTGATGGCGCGGGGCTCGCTGCCAGAGCATCGCCTCGGAGGATAACGTCGTGGGAATTGGAGAGGAGTTACTCACCTGCCGAATGTACGGGAGGCTCAGGAACGTTCCGATGACTGGCGTTTGACGGAGCGCCTGGAGGATGACCGGGAAGAAGGATCTGGCCGTCAGCTTGGAACACAGTACGAAAGGCAGGGTGCTCATATCGAGGCGATGGTCCGGGCTGTCGTGTTCTTTCACTTCCACATCGACGACACAAATGCGACCACCGCGACACCGACTCACCCGAACAGGCCGATGAAGCCGATGAACTCGATGATCATGCCGATGAAGGGCCGCTTGAAGAAGACCAGGAGACTGTCGTCAGCTAAAGTCCTTTCCTCGGAGGAGTGAGGAGTAACAGCTGAGCGCCACAGTTCTGCGCTCCGATCGCAAAGCCTCGTCCGCAGGGAAGCAAGCTTTCCGTGTGGTGTTGCGGTCTTCAAGTACGACTACGCCTTGCAGGCGAACTCGGTTTTCGTCAGCACCTCCAAGACCACTCACATTCCTCCAAAGAAGCACAATGTTCCGCGCCATTTCTCGCGTCGGCTGAAGAAGTAGAATGTCTTCGTCGGGCCGATGATGAGAGGCAGTCCCGAGAGGAACAGAATCTGTCGTCAGCTTGGAAGGCCAAAAAACAGCAAGAGGGGTGGACGGCGTAGTAGGCGTTCCGGGCCAAAGTATCGATACAGTGAGCCAGCCTCCGCTGAATAGCAAGCTCAGTTCGTCGGACCGATCGCAGTGCGAGTCACACGACAGCTCGGTTTCGACAGAGCCCGCATACTGCTTTTGGTTGTCTCTTCCTCAATGCCTCGCGCAGCTCTTCCCTCATGTCGTAACACCCACATTTCCGAGTGCGAGGAGAGGTCCGTCGAAGAAGAGCATGATGCCTGTTCCCATTAGCAAGTTAGCGCCTCGCCGATATGACGTACCCAGGATGAAGAACACCACTCCGAATGACACGAGCGCCATTCCAATCTCTGTCACTGTCAGCTAGCGAGCTCGCATTTCCAACTTACTTTGTCTGTCGCTGAGCCACATCGTGCTTATTCTGTCTCGATCGTGAGGGGTGGAGAAGCAAGTGAGGAGTGTTAGGGCGCCGACGCCGAAGCAATGTGACGCGTTTCAACCGAGTTCCACCTCGAAGTTCATGGCGTGCCACGTGGCGCTGCAACGTCAGTGTTGGCTGGTGTTGACGAGGCCTGGACCTCGAGGATAGGCGCGAGGCACCCATGGAGTCGGTGGGTGAGTCATAGGCCTGCAAAGCCCAAGAAAATCACGTGCCGGTTTGGAGGAATTGTGCGTTGTGGAAGATTCGTCGCTGGAATCATCCGAGCGCGGTTAAGCTCAAGCATCCCTGCTTCGCTAAGGTTGGAAGGAACGCTGTCACCTTCGCTGGAGCTTGGGTTAGACGTCAACAACCTCCGCTTCTGTCATCAGCTCTGGCCCCTCCCTTCCTGACACTGCGCATATGTTTCCACTAGCTCCCGCTCTGTCTGCTCAGATATCCCTCTATAGACAGCCTGTTTCTAAAACTGCGTGACCCATGCGCTGTCCGATGCGGGGCAGGACATTGGGTTCGGCCTCATACTCGAGCCCCGTTCGGGGTCCTCGACGGCCAAGAGCACCCCATTCCTCAAGCGAACAACGTATTGCGTACGGACACGCGGGACTCCTGACGAGGCTGTGTTGATGGACGTGCTGATCGAGCTGACCTAATCGGTTGAGCTGTCTGCCTGGCGTGCATGGGTGGGCAAAGGGTTGCGGCGTTGCGGGGTATGGGTAGACAGCTGTCCCAGCACGATGCACAGTCGCCGGCGGTGCGCGCCGATGTGCCGGCGAGCAGAGCACGGCAAGCAGGGTGCGACTGTGGTGGTGACCTCATTGTGACTGTTGACCCTGCGGGCTGCCCGTATCCGCAGGCTATGACGCTACCTGGGTGGTGGTTGCAAAGCGCGAATTTTTTATTAATCGAATGCTATTCGTCGATTACCGTTCGTCATTAGCAGACACTGCGATATTCATAGCCTTTCCCCACTTGCTGCGGTGATGGCCCCGGCGCCTTGTCGTGCGAGGTGGGGACCTACTGCATTCAGGTTCACTTCACCTCATACTGGCCTCACCCAGGTCAGCTGGACTGCTGCCCATTCAGCCAACAACCGAAGGCTGGTTATGGGGATGCTCGCTCGACCTGCGTGGAGAACGGAGAGAAGGCGGCCGGCTTACGTCGACCTTGACCCCGCTTTGACGCACCGCAGGACATGGCAAGGGGAAGCGTTAACCCTGTGCACGAGTCTATCCTATGCTAAGCTCTGATGCTTCCCCGAACCCAAGGTCCCCGGAGGCTTACTTTCGAGGGTGACAGCTGCTTAATGGGTACAAAGTAAGAACGGCACGTGTCTAGGGTACCACAGGGACTGGAAGGGGCCCGGCGCAGGACAAGGTCGACGGCGGCCTGCGTTTGGAGTGCTGATACGCAATCACAGTCGTCGCCAAGGAATTCTTACGGCCTTTAAAGCTCCCTCGGGTGCTCGGCGTCGTCCCCGTGGATACCTGTTCCCTCCTCTTGCTCCTGGCTTTCCAGCAGGGTGACAGCTCTGATTCTCTCCTCATCCATTCTTGCACTGTCTCCATCATTGGCGCCGTCTCCTCACTCATCTCTACTACGCCGGCTCCTCCCCATACGCTAAAACACACGCCTTCCAGCAACTAGTCACGACCGATTGAGCGAGATCTGCGTCGATCTGTAGGATCACCGCTCGCCCTATTTACTCGAAAGCTCACCAAAGTCTAAGAGTGGGTTCGATAAGCCCTCCGCAGTACCGTAACGACATCCCGGACTGTTTGGTCGCCGTCCGCACATTTTCCAGAAAGACAGCTCCATCTCCACCTTCCTTCACGACAACTCCTCTCTGCGACACATTTCTTTGCATTTGTTCTGATTGTCTAAGCCACAAACGGCCAATTCGCCATGGTAGCGGACGATCCGTTTCACGAGCCACCTGAGACGCCACCCCTTTTCACCACACGGCCCTTATCGACTGGACCTTCCCGGCCGATCCTTCGAGTCCACTCTGAAAATGATCTCGCTAGACCCGAAGATCATCAACACGGCGTAGGGCACACACAGCAGAACTCGGGCGGTGGATCCGGATCACGCACACCCGCTCGTCGTGTGCAGTGGACGACTGACCACATTGTCAACCTCCCGCCGCTGTCCTCGTCGCCCAAGCCCGAGGAGGAGCACGAGCTCCAGAATCTCGGCGCCGACTCTGACGGTGTTGCCACCCACACCGTCCATCCGTCGAATCTTCCCGATGTCGACAGCGCCCTCGAGCGCTTCCAGCGCCGCCGCAACCGACCGAGCCAACTGTCCCTTGCTTCCGGTGTCTCGTCCGCTGACCTAAGCGACATTGCGTCCGGGGATGCAGACGAGGAAGACTACGACTATCGACTAGACGTCGCCGGTGAGCGCGAGGCTGAGGCTGCTCATCGCCACCCCTTCCAACTCCACCATCATCATGGTGCTCCCGACGCCGAGGAGGGTGAGCACAACACCGAGCAGGACCTCCTGGACAACCCTCTCCGTGAGAACGTCGACCACTATGTCCCGCTGGGAGAGACGGACGGTCTGCCAGGACAAGCGGCGCAGGATCTGGCAAAGGCCCATGACATTGTGCGCGCCCACACAGGACGATGGGCCGGCCTTCGACGACGTGTGATGCGCGGAAGCGTCAAGAGGAAGGGCTCGGGTGACGACCATGCCGAGAAGAACGGTCAGTCTGCGGATGTTAATGAGAAGTCCCGGACGAGCACCGACACCACTACGAGCGACCGACCTCTGAACCCTTCCAATCACGATCTCGATGCGCATCTCGGCGGTACGAGGAGTGCTGCCGGCGCCCTACCACCTGGCGGACCCACCTCTGTACTGGGCACGCTGCTCCAGCTGCAGGCTCTCGAAAACGACCACTCCCGTCCCGGCACTGGCGTGTCAACAGCGACAACGACAGCCGTCAACTCGGCGGCTACAACCCCGACGAGTTCACGACCGCCATCGTTCACTGATTCCCCTAGGGAGGAGATTTGTGACCCGATGCAGACCTCTCAGCCCGTCTCCTCGGGTGACCACAGCCCTCACGAGCCTCACGCACCGACACCGGTCCGGCCTCATCATCACCGTGGATGGTCCATGTGGTCGAGAACATCGTCGCCGGACTCAAGCCACTCGCCAGCGTTTGGGAGGCATCACAGGACGAAGAGCGCCCAATCCCTCGCCAACCGTGTCGCCCAGTCCGACCAGGGCTTCTTCGGAACGCTCAACAAGTTCCACAGCCACTTCAATGACCGACCGAAGGGTGCGCGATCCGCAGGAGGCACTATCGGTGGCCTCGTCGCCTCGACTGGAGCCATGGCAGCCCCGCTCGTTCCCGATCGTGCAGCCAATGTCATCAACCCCCGTCGTCCAGGAGTTGTTATCGACAAGTACCACCTTGAGGAGCCTGCCGTGCGGCCGACCCGCCGCTCTGTGGCCTACGAGACTAAGAGTCTACCGGGCACACCCATGCGGGTCTCCTCACCGCCGCCGCAAGGATCGTCGCCTAACAACTTTGCGGACAGGACGCAGAACAACAGCGAAGACTTCCTTCCCCGCCACAAGTCGGCCGACGACATGCTGGCGATGCGTAACACGCAGTCCGAAAAGGGCTTACCGACGTCCGATTCGATGTCGACACTTACGACCGGGGTGCCCACCGCGCCCCTCTCGACGCCTGCAGAGGGCCCCATCATGATGAAGACGAGCAAGCAGGCACACTGGAAGGTCCCGACGCCTCTCAAGTCTCCTGCGACTGGCCTGAAGAAGGCAGAGAAGTGGGTTGAGCATCGCGCTCCGCTGTACCGCCCAAAAACCCGCGAGTCGAGCATGACCGAGGAGGAGAAGGACAAGGCACGCCGACGCAAGGAGCTCAAGGCGAAGAGGGAGCGCGAGAAACGCAAGGCAAAGGAGCGGCAGTACATTGTCCGCCACGTCGCCCAGATCATCTTCCGGCAAAAGTTCCTGCTCCAGCTTGCGCGCGCGCTCATGATGTTTGGCTCGCCCTCGCACCGTCTCGAGACGCAGATTCAGGCCACGGCTAAGGTCCTTGGTCTGAACGTGCAGGTCGTGTACATTCCTGGCGTCATGCTGGTTTCCTTCGCGGACGACAACACGCACACGACGGAAGTCAAGTTCTTAAAGCAGCAGACGGGTCTCGACCTCGGCAAGCTCCTTCTGGTGCATAACATTTACTGGATGGTGGTCTACGACAAGGTGTCGGCCGAGGCGGCGACGCTGCAGCTGGACAACCTCATGCGCTCACCGCCCGAATACAACTGGTGGCAGACGATCCTTATCGCCGGTCTCTGCTCCTCGTTCATCGTCATCTTTGCGTTCTACGCGTCCTTCATCGACGCCCTCGTCTGTGCACCCCTCGGCATGATCATGGCGGGCGTGCAAATGCTTGCGGCCAAGAACGACCTGTTCTCCAACGTGTTCGAAATCGCCATCGCCACGCTCATCTCGTGGATCGCCGCCGTGCTCTCGCGCACGCGCGTACTGTGCTACACAGCCATGGTGTCTGGCGGTGTCGTCCTGATTCTCCCCGGTTACATCGTGTTGACTGGAGCGCTCGAGCTCGCCGCGCGCAACATCACAGCAGGCGCGGTCCGAATGGGCTACTCGGTCATTTACTCGCTCTTCCTCGGTTTCGGAATCTCCATCGGAGCCGAAATCTACTCCAAGATGTTTGGCGAGAGTCTCGCGACGGCCAAGAACTGGGACTGCTCCCAGACTCACGACCCTAACAGGTGGTACCAGATGACCCCGAGCGGGTACTGGTACTACCTCTGTGTGCCGGCGTACGCACTCGTACTCTCACTGCGCAACCAGCAGCCGTTGTTCGCCAAGGAGCTGCCCGTCATGGTCCTTATCGCGTGCGCCGGCTGGGCCGTGAACCACTTCTCGGCTTACGCCTTCGGTGGACGTTCCGACATTGTCTCCGCCCTCGGCGCCTTCACGGTCGGTATTCTCGGCAACATCTACGGGCGCTTCTTTAGCAACGGCGCCTCCTTCCCCGTCATGGTCACGGGTATTCTGCTGCAGCTTCCCTCCGGTCTCTCGCAAGGCGGAATCTTCAACTTTGCGGCCGAGGGTAACGAAAGCAAGAACACAACCTCGCAGTACAGCCAGGGCTTCAGCGTGGCGCAGCAGCTTGTCTCCGTCGCCATTGGACTTACCGTCGGCCTCTTCGTCGCGGCCGTCGTCACCCACCCTCTCGGAGGAAGCAAGCGCCGCGGGTCCGGCATTTTCTCCTTCTAATCCATCCTCATCCATCCCATCGCCCGTGAGGCCCATGGCCCACCCGCGTCCTGTGACTATAGAACATCTAGATTCCCTTCATTACACATTGCCACGCCTATCCACACCAAACTTGTAGCATCTCAATCCCATGCATCGTTAGCAACACAGAGCGAGGGCCGTGAGCGAAGTGATGTCGTTCCAACATTAGGACATCGCACCGCCGCCAGGTCGTCGAAGAATAGAACGCGGCAACGTCGCGGCGCCACACACGGACACAAGATTCCAGCCCCACGCGTCCCCACCGAGCAACGCCGTGTGCGGGGCTGGGGACTACGTCTCTACAGAGTGAGCGTTCTGGACCCGCAGACCCGCAGACCCGCAGGCCCGCAAACTCGCCGCGCCGCAGCTCCACAGCCTCACCGCTGCGGCCCACGGGCTTCGCCGCTCCAGACCCGGGCCCCGGCGGTGTCCCTCCGTGGTATCCTGAGGCCCTGATCCTGAGGTGGACAGTGAGACTCCACAACGCAGGCGGACGATGAGCTCCCTGACTTAGAGCGCTCGGCGTCTCAGCGTTCGTCTCGGCGTTCGTCTCGGCGTTCGTCTCGGCGTTCGTCTCGGCGTTCGTCTCGGCGTTCGTCTCGGCGTTCGTCTCGGCGTTCGTCTCGGCGTTCGTCTCGGCGTTCGTCTCGGCGTTCGTCTCGGCGTTCGTCTCGGCGCTCCTCTCGGCGTTCAGACCCAAGGCTCTCAAGGCTCGGCACCGACTCCCTCCAGCCCCCATTGGCCCCACCCCAGGGCTGGAGTTCCTCAGTGTCGAGCGCGTCAAAATGCCCCGAACTAGTGGACTGTTTTCTGTACGAGTGGCTGTTGCTTGCTTCGGCTTGCTTGGACCTGCTTCGGCTTGCTTGGGCCTGCTTCGCTTGCTTGGGCTCGCTTCACTCGCGATCCCTCGCGATCCCTCGCGATCACTCGTCTGCCGCAAACTTGGCGCAACTTGCCGCAACTGGGAGTAGGCGTGAGGTGTCATGCCCTGCGCTCCATCCCGACCACTCGGCATCACGTACATCTCCTGCCTCATTCCGAGATCTGACACAGCACTAACCCCTCTAATCCTTACGTTTAGTTAATTACATTGTCTCAGCTTAGCGGCTCCGCGTCTCCGCGACCCGGCTTTGTTTCACGCCATTAACACCACGAGCAGAAAGTAGACTTGGACAGAAGGAAAACGGGTTAGGTTTCATCATCGTTACACTGATCGTACATAACACAAGACATGAAGTAAGTGTTGACTTGCTGGCTCGTATGGTATCTCCAATATCAATATTGAAATGGAAAGATAAAAGGGTCCGTTTGTTGTTTCTGCCGCTCATGATCGCGCAGAGTCATGAGGGCGAGGAGTTCAGCGCTCTTTCGGGCGTTGGTGGCACCAGGGACCGAGGCCGAGGACGCCGAGTGGGCGCGGGTATCGAGATAGGTTGGTGATGGCTTCGTTACACGTGTGTGGACAGTTGACAAGAGGACGAGACACGTTCTACCACTAGAGTTCAATGATCTCGCCGGTACAGCGCCGGCAGCTGTGTCGGAAGTCAATGTCGCACCCGGGCGCCACAGAGCCGTACTGCCGGTCGCTGCGCGACTGCTTGACGAGCGTCGTGAGCTGCCTCTTAGGCGAGACGCTGGACGGCGTGATGGATATCAGCGGCACTTGCGGCGGCGTCGATCGACTGAGGTAACCCGAGAGGAAACTGAGGCCGAATCCCGAACTCGCGAGCTGGCGCTCCGGTGTCGTCTGCGCCGGTGGTTGCGAGGTGTGCGTGGAGTGGGTCGAGTATGTCGTGTGGGTCGTGTGCGTGAAAGACGAGAGCGAGGGAGGCGGACGGCCGATGGCGCTGATGGGGCGGGGGCGGCCAGTTCCGTTGCTGGTGTACACGGCCTTAGTGGGAGAGATGGGCGTCACTAGGGAGCTGTTACTGTCATCAACAACGAACGGCGGCAGATCGAACGTTGGCTCCGTGGGCGACGGCTGCGCGGTTCCCCACCCTAGTCCGCCGGGGACAGAGATGCTCGGAGCAGGTCGGACAGGGCGGGCGCGGGACAGACCGAAGAAGGATTCACGCTTGCTCTCGCGGCTGCTCTTGTCGACCGGGCCCTGAGGGAAGCCCCAACCACCTCGCATGCGGATCAAGTTGGGGTCCTGGTTTTCCTCGTGGCCGTAGGCTTGGTTGTAGGCGCCGGCCTCGAGACCGTACTCGTAGGTGTCGACGTCGTCGTAGATATCAGCATCCTCGTATGCCTCGGCAGGCGTCGACATGGCACCAGAGATCGAAGCCATGTGCTGCCTCGACTTTGGCGTCGACGGAAGTTGGTGGGGCGACACGTGAGGGGTCTTGTGCAGGGCGTCGAGCATGGCCTGCAGCTCAACTGCCTGCGCGACCGCCTCAGCCTTCTCCTTGCGCTCGCGCTCAAGGGCTGCAGTCAGGCCGAATAGCTGCTCCCTCATCTCCGCAATGAGGCGAGCTTGAGCGGCTTCGTGCTCCTCGGCGGCAGAAGGCCGGCTAGGCGCAGCCGAGGAGACCGTCAGCAGACGGTCGCCCAGCTTGCGCACGCGTTCCCGGAGTACAGCAGATTCCCGACGTTCAGCCTCGTACTTGTCTTCCAGGCCCTTGCAGCGTTTGCGCCAGAGGTCAACGTCTTCCCGAAGAGCATCGCGTTTGAGTTCCATGTCGATGTGGTCGCGGCTGTCCCTCTTCGTCCAGAACGGGCTGTCAAAGCTGTCGCGAGTATTCGCTTCGTCGTCGCCGTCCTCGTCGGCTTCGCTGACTTCTCCAAGCACACGGCCCGACGTGCCAGTGAGACCGAGGATTAAACTCCTGGGACGCGGACACGAAGCACGGCCCATGGACCTGGTAGATCCAGACTCGTCGATGGATGATGTCGGCGATAGCATGTCCTCCCCACGAGAGCTTCCATAGTCCCGAGACGAGCCGCTGCCGCTGTCGTCCTTCTTGTAAGAGATCGAGCTGGTGCGCGAAGCACCGCCGCCGCGCGGGTAGGAACCGGTCGATAAGGGCCTAGGCTTGCTGGGGCTGGGTGTGGAGCCAAACCAGTCCGTCGAGGTGTCCAGAGGACGAGGGCGTCCACCTGAACGGCTGGCCGATCCAAACCCCGCAGGACTCTTCGTCGGTGTCTCACGCGACTGGGCGAGGGTACGCGAAAAGCTTTGCAAGACATCGGGGTTGGAGCTGCGACGGCCGGAGGACGAGACGGACGAGACGAGATGGAGTTGACGAAGGCGTGAAGGCGTTGGTGCTGAAGGCGTCGAGTCGTCGGCTGACAAAGTCATGTCGGATGGCGCAGCTTCAAGCTGGTGGGTGCTGTCCTCCTCTTCCGCCGCCTCCTCAGACTCTGTTTCATCCTCTTCAGCCAACACGCCCAGGCCACCATTCAGAAGCACGGACGAGGGGCGTGGAGTGGGCTCCGGGAGGTCAAAGCTGAAACCAGAAAAGGGTGGCTCCTCCTTAGCTTCGAAACGCTGCGAGACAGCCGTCCAGCGATCAGCCTCATCGAAAGTCGACCAGGGTAACGGAGACGAGATGCCAAACGAGCTGCTCGAAGCCGAGTTGACGGTCAGAGACGAGGGGCGACTGGACGATGCGGCTGACGTACACGTAGCAGACTGCGGCCGGGAAGAGCTGGTCGACAGATCATCATCGTCGTCGTCGAACGAAGGCAGAACGATCTCACCCTTGCTCACGTTTGAAGCGGGAGCAGTGGGTGGGGTCATACCCTCGGTCAGCTTGTCGAGGGCGCGGCGGCGCGACTCCTCCTTCTCCTTGTCACTCGGCTCAAACTTGAGCCGCGAACCGGTCGTAGGAGCAAACGAACGGCGATCCGTTGAGGCCGGAATTGTCGGTGATGAGGCGGCAGAGGCGCTGGTGAAGTTGGGAGACGGCAGCCGCAAAGACGTGGGTCGACCTCCCAGCTTGAGGTTCGGTAGAGAGATCGACTCGGACCGATTGTGGGAGTGGCGCTTGCGGTGAGGCTGGGGAGAAGTGGACCTGCTGAGTTCCGACGAGAGATCGAGTGGAACCGGTAGAGCAGCTGAGGACGACATGAGACGTGCCGAGAGCGGTCGGCGGGGAACAAAGGGGGCCGAGAACGAGTGCGAGGACATGTGCGTTGTGTCGCGGAGCGAGAAGGACGTCGGCCGGCGACGGGTGTTCATCTGCTGCGGAGCCTTGGAGCCGAAGCTCAACGAAGACAGGCGGTTGATGGCCGCCTCCTCCTCATCGTCGTGGTTGTTCTCCTTGTCCTCGTCGCTTCCAGCCAGACAGCCCGCCTGCGCAGGGGGAGTTGCAGGAGTCGTCACAATTTCCCGAGGTGCACCCTTCGCGTGATCCGCAGAACTGCACGGTCCTTCACTCTCACCCTCAGTCCCTTCGTCGGTCTGTTCACTGCTGTGCTCAAGAGGCGGCACATCGAAGAGCCCCATGACACTGGGACGGTTAACTTGCTCTGACGTGCCCGAAGTCGGTGCCTGTCGGGGCCACGAGAAGGACGAGTTTTGGCGACGATGAGATGAAAGAGCGCGACTGCCGACTCTGTTATGTCTGGGGCGAGAGATGGACTGGCTAAAATTAAAGGCATCCTGGCTCGCTGCGGGTTTGGCCGGCTGCGAGATGGACTCCTCCATTGCCGCTTCACTCAGATCCGGGAGCGCCGCGCCATTCGGCACTCGGCGAGGCAGAGGGAGCCCGCTGGAGCTCTTCGACGGTGAGGACGATGGCGAAGACGACGCATGCGATGAGGAAGACTGCGTGGTTGATTTTGAGGCGCGGTATCGTTTGAGCTGCGGACATGTGTCAGTCTGAGGAAGCTATTGAACGCGTAAGGATCAGCGCAAGACAACTCACCTTTTTCTTCGCGGAAGACAGCTTGTGAGCCCTCTGGGCGTCGGACTCAACGACGGTAGCGGCTGTGGTCATGGTTGCAGTTTCTCAACGCTCGGCGAGCACACGAAGCGCGCCGACGAGGGTGGCAAATGCCGATCAACAAACTCTTTTCAACGTGCGCGCGCGTCAAGGTCGGGAGCGATAGTCGGTGCGCGAGATCGGTTGGGGTGAATGATGCAGGAGCGGCGACCGAGCGCGTTTGGTTATGCGTAGGAAAGAGAGTGTGGATCGAAAGGAGTGACGACGGTCGGCAGGGGTGGACGAAGGCGGAGTGTGGTGTGTCGCGAGGTGACCGAAGATGAACAAGGCGTCGGTTCCAAGTGATGGTGATGGACGATGAAGAAGAACAAAGAGTCCGGGAGACGCGAGGAGCGGGTGATGGACTAGTGGTCAAGATGAAGATGACAATGCCCGGACGCTGGTGTCATTGATGGTTCACTGGTTTCTGTGCTTCGCAAGGGAAAGGGCAGGCGCCAGAGCCAGAGCGATAGGGGGACAGGGCGAGGAACCGTGAGGCAGGACCCAGGAGTGCAGGAGCGAGGAGGATCAAGGAGTGCGCCGGCCGGACTGGCAGGGGTTGAGGATTGCAGGAGCGCAGGATTTCGCGCGCGCCGGGCGAGCTCAAAGTGAGCGAGTGAGCGAGTGAGCGAGGTCAGCCAAGCGCTAGGGAGCAAGTGTCGGTTCGGAGACGCGGTGGTCCTAGCTCGACTCAGTCCCTGGACCGGAGTACGCCACGGCCACAGGTGGTGTGTCAGTCGCCCAAAGTCGACGCGGGGTGCTGAAAGGGTTGGCCGAACGAGCTAATGGGAAGCGTCGCAACCGCAGTGGATGTCGTCGCCCGGGCAGGCAATGGTGCTGGCGTGGAGCAGGATAGTGGCGTTGAGAAAGGGCGACGGGATGAAGTGGTGGTGGGCAGAGGAGGCAAGAAAAGCAGCGAGGAAAATGAATGAATGGGAGGTGAATGAGAGGTGCAAGGAGGAGGAAGGTGGTTGCCGGTTGCAGGATCGGGGGCCAGGGTCAGGTGCGCGGTGGATGAGTGGTGCGGAGTGGCCGGAGTGGCCGGAGCCTTGTGTTGGTCTTGAACCTTGTACGAGGTCTGGCTGGGCCGGCCGGGTGCAGGCTGCGTGCTCTGGCCTCGGGTCCTGCGCCCAGGTGACCGGACAGATGGACACTCACCAGGGGGAGACGAGGCCGACAGGGTTGGCGTCCGGCAAGAGACCGCCCTTAGGCCCTTTCCATGTACCCTGCTTCCGTAGCCCATTCCCCAATCCTCATAGGCCACCCGAAACCTCAGCCACTCAACTCGTTTAGCTGACGCGACTGACCGCGACCCTCACAACTATGCAGCGTCTCCGCCCGCCAGCTTGGCCTGCTGATCTGCTGACAGACCCAGACGATGCGTGGACTTCCAGGTCCAGGTGCCAGGTACCTCTTGCCTCCTGAGATTCCTGATCCCGCTCGATTCAACCAGGGCTCCCATCCGACGCGTCCCTCCGCCATTCCTGGCTCACCTTGAAACTCATGTCTTCTCCATCCCACCACACCCAACCTCGCCCAAGCCCACTTTTCACCAACGCGTCCCCCCATAGCCCCTGCGCTCTTGCCTCCAGTGCACATTTACCTGCTTCTTCTCTTTGCTCTTCCAGCGCGCCAGCGCGCAGTAGGTGGAGACTCAACCGGTCCCTCAGCCGTCAGCACCCTGGGAGGACCATCTCCCCCCTTGCCTGCGCACCTGATCGTGCCGGTGCCGGTGCCGCTGGATGCTGCGCTGGTTGATCATGCAAAAGTCTTCCTCGCCGCATTGGGTATGCCGCCGGCCGCCAGTGGAACACACGGCCCGAGTCTGGACTTGGGTCTTGAGGTACCGATCGCTGCCTTGGGCGTGCCGCATCTCCACTACCCGATAACCTAGGGCGTTACTATATTCCGCTACAGACTTTTCCCTAATACTGCAACGCCGAGTAATTCCAGGCACGGTCAGGCACAGCCTGACGTGTACATGAGGTGGACTGTGATACGCCATGTTCCCTTACGTCAGGGTCATTTGCTTCCGCGACGCCACCACGACTCGTTGCAACGAGTTGCAACTCATGTCCTTGCAACTCGATCCTTCTTACAAGCCGCCATCCACCCCGAAATAACGCGTTTCTGACCAATCTGACTGCAGAAATGGACTCCGACGAAGAAATAGTCCTAGGAGCAACCCCTGAACGATTCCTATCGGACAGAGAAGCCGCAGAACACGACCGGGCCGTTGATGAGGCACGTGACAGGTTTTGGGCCGAGGTTCGTCTCCACGACGAACGGCGACACCGCATCTCCAACAAGCGAGCGCGCGCGTACGGCAGCCCTCAGTTCGACAGCATCCTGCCCCCCATCATCACCCCGCGCGCATCCCTGATCCTGAGGCCACTTTGCCACCTGGTGCCACCATACCTCCCCTCTTCCCTCCCTCCACTGTGCGTCACCTCCACCGTCGCATTGCGTGACCTTGGATGCCCGGTGGGCAAACCGTCCGACACTACCAGGGACG